CAAACCCGTCAAAATCGCCCAACCTGAACCAACTCGACTGGTTTGGGTCGGGTCAAGTCGGGTCGGGTTGGGTCATGGGTTAACTCATAAAAATCGAATAAACCCGCAAAATTCAACCCGACTATATTTATGAACTTTATAAGTGTTATGATATTGTTTGGAAACTCTTAAAATAATATTATAAGATTTGAATAGAATGCATTTTACGAAAAATAGTATAAGAAAATACACATTCAACACATAAAAATTTTTAATTGCAAAATCATTTCTTGACGTCATATAATTTAATATCAATCTGTCCATATAACATTTGCGGACATGAAGTGTCAAAATAATTCAATTTTTTTTGTTCATTGCAACTATGGAGATCAAATATTATATAAGTCATGAGTCAATTATAAATCTGTCCGATTCGACCCGCCTACTTTAGTCTTTGTTGACGAGTTGTTCTAACCCGACCAACCTAACCCAACCCGATCGATACTTGATTAGGTTGTGTTGGGTTGGGTTAGGTTAAATTATGATCAAACCGATCGTATTGGATTGGGTTTGGGCTGAGGCAAAAACCGACCCAACCCAACTCATGTCCACCCTTAGTCGGGCCAATATCACTCCTCATGTCCATATCTCGTGCCTAGCTGAGGTAACCAATCAAATCATACTGCAAGACTTTCGAACGAGGATAGGAGACACTAGAAGTACTTGGCCTCGATGAACTACCCCTCATACTTTAAACTTATAGGACGTCTCACAGGACAGCAACAGGCGAGACCCCTTTCATGCTAGTATTTAGTATCGAGGCTACAATCTCGGTTGAAGTAAGCTTGCCTAGCATGAGACATCTCGGCCCTGAGTTAGAGGGATATGTTACTGAACATCTTAACCTATTGGAGGAAGACTGTGAACATGCCGCCAAAAGAGCAATGTTGTACCATAGTAGAAAAACAAAACACTTCAACTACGGAGTTAAACCTAAAAGGTCTAGTGCTGAGAAGAGTAAAAATTGCTGGCCATATCCCTAGTAAGTTAGGACCAATCTGGAAAAGACCTTTTGAAGTAATAAGAGACAGCTCGGGAAGATCACTTTCGAGACCTTGAAATGCTAATAATCTAAAAATTTATTACAAGTAGTTAGCCCTACCGTGCATAGTTAGCTATTTAGTTTAGTTTGCTTTTAATTGGGTTTACATGCCCTGTGCATTTTTTTATTACTTTTAACTAGTTTATATTTAGCCGGGCTTACATGTCCCATGCATTTTTCTTTTCTTAGATGGTTTAATTTGTCAAGGCCTAGGAGCCTACATTGTTTCTAGAATATAGGAAAGTTTATATAGAATAGCCGTTGAAATTACCTAACAAAACATTTTCTAGAAAGAGTTAACCCAAAAAGTCGTGCCCACAAGCCTACACGCAAAAGTCGTGCGCACGAGCATGCACCTAAAAGTCGTGCCCACGAGCAACTCCTCAAAATCTTCCTCGACCATAAGAGCCCAAACTGCTCGATATCGCCATTCATGTG